CCCTACTAGTGCATGGGATTTTTAAGGTAGGGACAATGCCTGATGCATCTCACGGTCTACAATTTCTGGCCAAGTCCCTAACACATCAGTAGGTGGACAGTGGGCGCAGTGGCTCATGCGTGTAATCCCAGCACTTTGGGAAGCCGAGGTGGGCAGATCACAAGGTCAGGAGTTTGAGACTAGCCTGACCAACATGGTGAAACCCCATCTCTACTAAAAATATAAAAATTAGCTGGGCATGGTCGTGGGTGCCTGTAATCCCAGCTACATGGGAGGCTGAGGCAGGATAATCACTTGACCCTGGGAGGCAGAGGTTGCAGTCAGCCAAGACTGCACCACTGCACTCCAGCCTGGGCAACAAGAGTGAAACTCCATCTTAAGAAAAACAAACAAACAAAAAACCCCAGATGCTTTGAGGCACTTGTTGGCTGTGAAAAAACAAAGTATAGCTTACTCATCGGCATCACTGGAAGTCATTATAGGAAGAATTAAGTGCCTGTTTTGCAGGCCAGTCTCATTGATACTGTTGAAGTAAATATGTTAAAATAATTAGTAGACAGTGGGCGCAGTGGCTCATGCGTGTAATCCCAGCACTTTGGGAAGCCGAGGTGGGCAGATCACAAGGTCAGGAGTTTGAGACTAGCCTGGACCAACTGGGTGCCCCATTTTACTTAAGAATCCAAAGATTAGCGGGCATGGGTGGCATGTGGCTGTTAATCTCAGCTAGTGTAGGGGCTGAGACAGCGGAGGGAATGGCTTTTGAACCTAGGAGGCAGAGGTTGCAGGTGGCTGGGATCAATGCCTGCCACTCCCAGCCTGGGTGACAGAGTAAAGGATTTCAGTCTCAAAAAAAAAAAAAAAAAAATGAAATAGGTCAGGTAGTTTTAAATGAGACCGAAGACCAAGGGAACTGAGGACTGGTGACATTTGTAGTGAAACCAGAGCTATATGATGTTGTAAGTGGTCTCCTTGGGTGGATCTGGTATGTCGTTGACTTGGAGGCGGGCACTCGTAGTACAAGTACTTAAAGGTGCTTAGTTTACTTTGTGGCTCCTATGCATCAGTTCTAGTTTTCATGCTTCTCCCAGTACTTAGAGTACCTAGCATCAATATCTTGTTTTTGCCAAATATAGTAGCACCTTCTTAATGCTAGCATCCATGAGGAAAAGTCCTGCAAGATACAATCTACACCTGGGTTAGCTGGATGGCTTCCATTACTCTTTCTTTCTTTGTTCCCATGGAATTTTTATTCATACTCCCCTCTGTCCCCTCCCAGAATATGCTTTGCACAGTGAAATCTGTTTGCTTATATAGATCCCCTACTAGTGCATGGGATTTTTAAGGTAGGGACAATGCCTGATGCATCTCACGGTCTACAATTTCTGGCCAAGTCCCTAACACATCAGTAGGTGCTCAGCAAATTTGTTGAATGATCAGTCCCTAAGGGTCAGTTTGTTTGAACAATCAATAGCAGACAAAGCCTGACCTTCCTGAGCTTAGCTTCCCAACTGCAGTGGTCTTCTCAAAACTGACTGCAGGGACAGGATTGACCCTGCACACAAGAGGTCTGTCTGAGATTCTAGAGACACACTTTAGGCTCTTCACACTCTTGTGTTTTGCACACACAGGTCCTTGAGTTTTAAACATGGCTTTTTGACCTTCTCAGTGTTGTCTTTTATCTGGAGAGGAAGTGCAACGTGACTTTACCCAGCCTCTACTGTGAGTTAGGGAGGGGTGTTGGCCCCACTGGCCCTGACGGCATCCACACACCCTTTGTTGTCATGGAGTGACCCCTCTGACTCCTTTGATCAGTGATTGGCTCTCCTCCCTGGCAAGGGCTGGCAAAGGGTTCCTAACTCTGTTTAAGTGAAATCTGAAACAGGTTGCCAATGGTGCCTCTCACCAAGGCCCCGAGCCAGCCTGGAAGGAATACCATGAAAATGTTGCAACAGTCAATGAGTAGAATGTGGACTTTTGTGTCAACCACACTAAGGGTTGTACTTTTTTCATTAAGAAAGTATTAATATGTGTTTTTTGAGAAGGGAGAAAGAATGTGTGCTATTCCTTTATTCTTGCTGTTAAATCATAAAGCTAGGTTATATAAGATCCTGGAAACTCAGCCTTTATGAACAGAATTAATAAGAGTTTGAAATGTTTCATTGATCTCTCAGTGTTTCACTTGATAAAGCAATAAAATGCTATTCACGACTGTATGAGGCTACACCCTTCTTTTGAATGCCGATGCTATTACTTCTCCTTTGTTTTCTTTGAATGGCTGTGTCAGCCCTTGAACTTTTTGAGTGACATTACTAAACCTTTTCTCATGTCCTGTGGTGTCTCTGGTAAGGGTTAAATTGGTGAAGCTATATTATTAAAAGTTTAGTACTTATTCCGATAAATGTATCTATCCATATAGATCTATATTAATATATATGTTGTATTATATTTTCTGGGATAGATAGTCTTTATTTGGTCCTCTTTTCAGAAGATATGTCTCAACATGTGTTTCAGAAAATAAAGTACCCATAGTCAGTGCTGATAAGTGAAATTGATGACAGTTTTTGGAGGCTACAACTATGTGCACATTCAGAAACTATTAGCAGTCTAACCTTTTGGAGATCTTTTTTGTTTTTTTGAGATGGAGTCTCACTCTGTCGCCCAGGCTGGAGTACAGTGGTGTGATCTCTGCTCACTGCAAGCTCCACCTCCCGGGTTCATGCCATTCTCCTGCCTCAGCCTCCCAAGTAGCTGGGACTACAGGTACCCACCACCACGCCTGGCTAATTTTTTGTATTTTTAGTAGAGATGGGGTTTCACCGTGGTCTCCATCTCCTGACCTCATGATCCGCCTGCCTCAGCCTCCCAAAGGGCTGGGATTACAAGCATGAGCCACCACACCCGGCCCTGTTGGAGATTTTTAGACAAATTTCTTTAGGAGTAATATATTTTAAGACAATATCCTCTTTAGGAGAAATAAAGGGAAGAATTATCTGTTAACCTCCAAAGTAGTATGTTTTCCTATAATTCTGTTTCTGATTACAGATAGAGTTGAAGTCTTCCATTATTTATCAGCCAGATATTCAGTGAGCACTACAAGCTGGGATAGAAGTGAGCACTATAAGCTGGGATAGAAAATAAGACTTAGTTTCTGCCTTGACTGTATTCTAGTTAGGGTTGGAAGTGGAAAGACAATCACTAGATAATATTTCTAACACTGTGGCAAGTGTTAAAATAGAGGTATATACAAAAGTAAAATAAATAAGGTTTAACTGTGCCTGAGAGAGGGATTGGGGAAGGTTCAGCTTAGTATTTAAAGATACCAGATGCAAGTTTACTGGAGTATTATCCTTGCAGGCTTGGTATGAGGCTTGAAATTTCTCTCCAAAGAGATTTAGTTAACAGGCAAATATCCCATGGGAGGTATAGGTCAATAGGTTATACTACATTGCTGTCAGTCTTTTACATCTTAGTGTGAATTAATTTTCCTTCAGAAAATCAGTCATCTGTGGAGCAGAGACAGGAGGCCAGGTGTTAATAGGGGCAAAGAGAAGAGAAGGCCTGGCCAGTACTTGGAGATAAAGACTTGAGCGATCAGACCCTTCCATGGGCTCCCTTTAAGAAGAACAGGGCGAGACCAAGGGTTGAAGTTGGGAGAGTGAAAAAATGCAGACCATGGGGGCATTACTTATTTCTCCAGCTCTGATCTGCTGTTTTACTAGAGGTCTAATTAGGCCTGTATCTGCCTCCTTCTTGAATAGCCCAGAGAATTCATCTAAACAGCCTTCCTACAGCAGCTCCCCACTTTAGGTGGCCAAACAGGAGTTCTAGACCAGTGTTGTCTCCCGGAACATTGGCACAGCAGCCAAGTTGATTGGTGCTGGGGCAGACACAGTTGGTGTGGCTGGTTCAGGGACTGGCATTGGAACGGTGTTTGGCAGCTTGGTCATTGGCTATGCCAGGAACCCGTCTCTCAAGCAGCAGCTCTTCTCCTATGCCATTCTGGGCTTTGCCCTGTCTAAGGCCATGGGGCTGTTCTGTTTAATGGTCACCTTCCATATCCTCTTTACCATGTGAGGCTCTGTGGGGGTCACCTGCCTGTCCCTGCTGCTGCAACTCCACACCATTCCTGGTGCTGGGGTATGCTAAGCTTTATCATTGAACACAATGTTTCTGAAAAAAAGAAAAAAAAAAAAAAGAGCAGGGCATACAGTGGAGCTCAAAGGGACGTAGAGATAATTTTGAAAAGACTTAGAGATAATTTTAAAGAATGTTTTCCTTTTTAAAAATTATGCAATACTCCAAGCATTCAGAAAATGATAGAGAATAATAAAACAAACACCCATATACCGATCAATCATCTTTTTGAACTTAATATTTTGCCTTAATTATTTCAGAATTTTAAAGAAAAAATATAAGAACAGTTGCATTGCTTTGTATGTATCCCTTCACTGCTCACTCCACTGTCCTGTTCCTCTTTCTTCCTCCCCAGTGGTAACCATTATTCTGAATTTACAATTTCTTCATTCTACTGACAAGAATACTGAGGCCTAGAGAGATTGAGGGATTTGCTCAAGGCCACAGAATCTGTTTATGTCACATCTGGGACTAAAAACCAAGGTTCTTATCTTCAATCCAGACTTTGTTCATTAGCTCGGATCTGAGTAGGTGGCAGTACAGCGGGGAGTGGGCAATTCAAACCAAAGACAAACAGAGAGGTCACAACAAATACTGTTTTGTTCTGCTATATGCTAAGTTTGTTGTTGTTATTGTTCCGTTTTGTTTTGAGACAGAGTCTTGCTCTGTTGCCCAGGCTGGAGTGAGTGCAGTGGTGCGATCTTGGCTCATACCAACTTCTGACTCCCAGGTTCAAGCAATTCTCCTCCTTCAGTTTCCCAAGTAGCTGGGGTTACAGGCTTGTGCCACCATACCTGGCTGATTTTTGTATTTTTTAGTAGAGATAAGGTTTCACTATGTTGGCCAGGCTGGTCTCGAACTCCTGACCTCAAGTGGTCTCCCAAAGTGCAGGATTACAGGCGTGAGGCACCGCGCCCAGTCAGTTTTTGAAATTAAGTATTTTTTTAGGAAAAGCCATATGAATGGTTATGTGGATTTGCAGTAGAATTTACTTTCAAGTCAGCTCCACCAGGAATAGTTTAAAGATCTCATAGGCATCTGTAATGAATAACAAACATTGCCTGTATTTTCAGCCATACAGTCTTATTTTTAAGGTTTGATCTATGCAAATACAGATTATATATAGTTCCTGTAATGTGTAACATGTAGATTATAAAGTATATGAATAACTTTTCAAAGGAACACAAACTCTTCACAGGACAGTCTCTGGTTTGGGTGCCATACAGTTTGGATCTCGGTGGATGATGAATTATAAGCCATAATAATCTGACACTATGTCAAGAGCAAATTTGTGTGTGTATATATGTATATATGTACATATATTTATGTGTTTGCATATATATGTGTGTATATATGTGCATGTGTGTATATATGTATGGGGTTATATATAGTGTGTGTATATACAGGTGTGTGTATAAGTATATGTATATGTATATATGTGGGTATATGTATGTGTGTATGCATATATACATATGTGTGTAAATGTGTATATATAGGTGTATGTATATATGTGTTGTATCTGTATATATACATGTGGGTATATATACATGTGGGTATATGTGTGTGTGTATATATATATATTTATGCATGTGTAAGTTGAAAAGTAAGCAGTCCAGATTTTCCCTTTTACAGACAGACACCAAACCAGTGCAGATGATGAACATGGAGGCCACGTTCTGTATGGGAAACATTGACAGTATCAATTGTAAGATCATAGAGCTTCCTTTTCAAAATAAGCATCTCAGCATGTTCATCCTGCTACCCAAGGATGTGGAGGACGAGTCCACAGGCTTGGAGAAGGTAAGGAGGAGGCAGGTGCTCTCCACAAAGGCACCCCCTGTCTTGGCAAGGAGTCGTGCAGACAGGGCTGTGTGGGCCGTGAGAGCTGGGCTGGGAGCCCTCCCTTATTGCCATTGACTCAGTCACCTCCAAGGTCCCATGCTTCTTTCTGGGGCCTTTCCTCCTTAATATTAACAACAGCCAACATTTATTTGGCACTTACAGTGTTCTAGGGACTGTGCTAAGTTGCCTACATGCATTATCACATTTAATTCTTACAGCAGGCTGATGAATTAGAGACTGTTACCACACTCTTGTTTACCAGTGAGGGAACTGAGGCACAGAGGGGTAGGTAACGGGTCTGTGGTCATATAATTAGCCAAGGGTGTGTGCAGGATCAGGATTTGAGCCCAGGTACTTGGAGCCAGGTCCTTAACTGAAGGCTAGAGTGCCTCCCTCATCTAGGGAGTAAGGCACTACGTTGCTACGCACTGCCAGGTCCACTGTCATGTGACCTGATATCAAGCATACTGTCTCCTGCTCTTTCTTTTTTTTAAATTAGTAGATGTTATTTTTTAGAGCAGCTCTATGCTTACAGAAAAATGAGTGGAAAGTACAAGAAATTCCCATATACTCCCCTTCCCGTCTCAGGCCTACAGTTTCACCTGTTATTAGCATCTTGCATTAGTGTGGTATGTTTGTTACAATTGATGAGCCAATACTGATATATTATTATTATTATTATTATTATTGTTGTTTTAGAGACAGGGTCTTGCTCTGTTGCCCAGGCTGGAGTGCATCCACCTGCCTCGGTCTCCCAAAGTGCTAGGATTACAGGCGTGAGCCACTGCACCCAGCCGCATCTCTCTCATGTTTTAAACCAGCTAAAATGGATGCATTCACTACCTATGACCTTAGGGAATGGCTCAGAGTTAGTTCAAGTTCCCATTTAAAAAAAGTAACTTCAGCTTTAATTTAATTTATTAAATCTGATGCCATTCTTAGTACATGAATATTCTGGATTTCCTCGTAGAGAAATTACAATAAGCATTCAAGAAATATATATAAAAAGCTTTCTAATTTTATACTCATTTCACTATTGTGTATGTAACATCATAATCCAGGCATTTGTTTCTATAAATCTATTCTCTAACTTAAGGTTGCGTGCGGTGGCTCACACCTTTAATCCCAGCACTTTGGGAGGCTGAGGCTGGCACATCACTTGAGGCCAGGAGTTTGAGACCAGCTTGGCCAACATGATGAAACCCTGTCTCTACTAAAAATACAAAAAAAAAATTTTAGCTGGGCATGGTAGAGTGTGCCTGTACTCCCAGCTACTTGAGAGGCTGAGGCATGAGAATTGCTTGAACCCAGGAGGTGGAGGTTGCAATGAGCCAAGATCACACCATTGCACTCCAGCCTCGGTGACAGTGCAAGATTGTCTAAAAAATCCCAAACAAACAAACAAACAAACAAAAAAACTACTCTCTAACTTAAAATGAAAAGACAGAACCCTGCTCTCATAAATTTCAGTGTGCAGGGAACACTGTTATAGGCTGGGGAGGAGGAGGACACAGCTGGGTGGCTGCTGGCTCTCCTGAGTCACATACCAAAAACTTCTGGGCCATCTTTGATGTTCCACCCAGACTGCTTTGAAACTGGGCTTATAATAACACCTTATGTTTTCAATCAAGCCAGGTCTTTTACAATTGGAAATAAATAAAAATAATTTCTTTTCATTTTTGTCCTTCAGATTGAAAAACAACTCAACTCAGAGTCGCTGTTGCAGTGGACTAATCCCAGCACCATGGCCAATGCCAAGGTCAAACTCTCCATTCCAAAATTTAAGGTGGAAAAGATGATTGATCCCAAGGCTAGTCTGGAAAATCTAGGGCTGAAACATATCTTCAGTGAAGACACATCTGATTTCTCTGGAATGTCAGAGACCAAGGGAGTGGCCCTATCAAATGTTATCCACAAAGTGCGCTTAGAAATAACTGAAGATGGTGGGGATTCCATAGAGGTGCCAGGAGCACGGATCCTACAGCACAAGGATGAATTGAATGCCGACCATCCCTTTATTTACATCATCAGGCACAACAAAACTCGAAACATCATTTTCTTTGGCAAATTCTGTTCTCCTTAAGTGGCATAGCCCACGTTAAGTCCCCCCTGACTCTTCTGTGGATGCCGATTTCTGTAAACTTTGCATCCAGAGATTCATTTTCTAGATACAATATCTATAACTGCTGGATCAGGAAGCCACCAGTACTTGTCACATGTAGCCTTCACACAGATAGACCTTTTTGTCCCAATTCTATCTTTTGTTTCCTTTTTTCCCACAAGACAATGACATATGCTTTTAATGAAAAGGAATCACCTTAGAGGAAAAACATTTATTCATTATTTGTCAAATTGTCTGGGGTAGTTGGCAGAAATACAGTCTCCACAAAGAAAATTCCTTTAAGGAAGATTTGGAAGCTCTTCTTCCCAGCACTATGCCTTCCTTCTTTGGGATAGAGAATGTTCCAGACATTCTCGCTTCCCTGAGAGACTGAGGAAAGTGTGGTGCATGGGAACCACAAAACTGCCCTGGCTCCAGTGAAACGTGGGCACATGCTCAGGCTACTATAGGTCCAGAAGCCCTTATGTTAAACCCTGGCAGGCAGGTGTTTATTCAAATTCTGAATTTTGGGGATTTTCAAAAGATAATATTTTACACACACTGTATGTTATAGAACTTCATGGCTCAGATCTGCGGCAGTACCGTATAAATCAACACCTTAATATGCTGCGACAAAATGTAGACTATTCAGACAAAATGCATACCTAAAGACTAGCTCATAAGGGGTCAAATGTTGCTGGCAAATGCGTATGCCACCAACTTACAAAAACACTTTGTTCGCAGAACTCTTCAGATTGTGGAATGTTGGATAAGGAATTATAGACCTCTAGTAGCTGAAATGCAAGACCCCAAGAGGAAGTTCAGATTTTAATATAAATTCACTTTCATTTTTGATAGCTGTCCCACCTGGTCATTTGTTTGGCACTAGACTGGTGGCAGGGGCTTCTAACTGACTCGCACGGGGATTCTCACAATAGCCAATATCAGAATTTGTGTTGAAGGAACTTGTCTCTTCGTCTAATGTGATAGTGGGAAAAGGAGAGGAAACTACTGCCATTAGAAAATATAAGTAAAGCGATTAAAATGCTCACATTACCTTGACACATAGTTTTTCAGTCTATGGGTTTAGTTCTTTAGATGGCAAGCATGTAACTTATATTAATAGTAATTTGTAAAGTTGGTTGGATAAACTGTCTATGTTGCAGGTTCATGGATTACTTCTCTATGAAAAATATATATTTACCGAAGATTTTGTGACATTCCTTCTCCCATCTCTTCCTTGCCATGCATTGTAAATAGGTTCTTCTTGTTCTGAGGTTCAATATTGAATTTCTCCTATGCTATTGACAATAAAATATTATTGAACTACATGTCTTTTTTTTTTTTTTCCATTAAGTTAGACTATTTTGAAATAGAACCAAGCCATCCGTTTACAAAAGCATCCCTGAGGCAGGCAGATCACAAGGTCAAGAGATTGAGACCATCCTGGCCAACATGGTGAAACTCTATCTCTACTGGAAATACAAACATTAGCTGGGCATGGTGGCACACACCTGGAGTCCCAGCTACTCGGGAGGCTGAGGGAGGAGAATCGCTTGAACCTGGGACATGGAGGTTGCAGTGCAATCAAAAAACCCAAAACATACAAACAAACAAACAAAAAACCAAAAAAACAAAACAAAAACAAACCCCCCAAAACCCCAAGAGCATCCCCTGTATGTAAAACGCTCTTTTGAAGATTGAGGCAGACTAAAATAAGAATAATTACTTCCTCTTTTCCCTTGTTTTCCTTTCTTCCTAGCCACCAGCTCTCACTTCTTCCTCCCACACTCCTTTCATCCTAGGGAGTAAAAGACCAGGCCAGTGCTAGAATGACTCTCAACTGCATAATGTCTATAATGGAATCAGAGACCTTGCAGCAGGACATAGAGATCTTCCCAGCCCTTTTCACTCTAAACCCGCCCTCAAAAGTCATTTTATTGGGTACACCGTATGTGCTTAAAACATTGTTTCTTCTTATGAAGAATGTTTTTCTCCATGCCATGCACATTTGATTTAAATAAGTTCTGGTGTCCCTGAACCTAATATTCGACATAGCCTCTTTTCTGTCCCTGTGGTGTGCTTAAACTACATGTGTCTCCTTTTCCAGCAAATGATGAGTACAAAAGCTGACAAATGCCCCCACATCCTTAAAAGATTATTTGTGCAGGATTGCTGGGGGTGGTCAAAGTCAGATTTTGCCCTCTTAGTTCATCCCTCTTATCCAGGCTATGAAATAGAAAATGTGAGATGACTGTGAAAAACATTAGTGAGTTCTTAGAGGAGGGGAGAGATTAGTGCCTCTTTAAAACAAGAATGCAGGGAGCTTAAAGCGTCTCTTGGAATTTGGAAAACACTGAACATTTTGGTCATCTTACCTGGGACAGTCTGTCAGTGATTTTTCAACCAGGGGAAACTCTGCCCCCTAGAGGACATTTTCATTGTCACAACTGCGGGACTGTCATCTAGTGGATAGTCTAGGGGTTTTTGTCTAGGATGAGGAGGAAGATGCAAGAGGGTCGGTTTGGAAAGGAAGAATTCAGTGCATTCTGCAAGCACCCTGCCCAGCCCAGCTCACTAGCAAACTGGTCACAGGTATATTATCTCGTTTTGTCCTTTCCACAAACCTTTCAGGAGGAAACCATGATCCCATCTTATAAATGAGGACGTTGAGACTGAGACAGAGAATGGATAGACAACCAACTCAAGGTCACAGAGCTAATGCATGTTGCTGGCTATATTTGAACTCATGAAGACTGACTCCAGAGCTGGACTTCCTAACCTCTGTGCTCCATGCCCTCTTCCAACTGACAGCAATACCTGACAGGCGGTCACTGAATGGACCTGAAAGAATTCCTCTCTTCCAGACCTTCTCTATTTATTTGTCTTATCCTGGCAGTCCTTTCCTTGTCAACTAAAACATCCCTAGAGTCAGAGACAGTCCACCAGTAAGGGGCCCAATTACTGCCTTTGCTTATTCTCACAGTGACCCCGGAGTTAAGGGCTATGCCAGTCTATTTTATGAGGAAATATGGGCTCAGAAGAATTGGATAATGCATCCGAATGCGTAAATAGCAGGGCTTGGATTTGTGAACATTATTACTATGAAACCATATTAGTTATTTCCTTACTGATGAATATTAGTTATTTCCTTACTGATGAATATTCAGTTAGTTTCTAGTTTTTCTGTTATAAATAATATTACCATGGACATTTCTATACTTAATCATCTGTTATTATTATTATTATTATTATTTTTGAGGCAAAGTCTCTTTCTGTTGCCCAGGCTGGAGTGCAGTGGTGCAACCTTGGCTCACTACAACTTCCCTCCCTCTTGGGTTCAAGTGATTCTCATGCCTCAGCCTCCAGAGTAGCTGGGACTACAGGCATGTGCCACCTCGCCTGGCTAATTTTTGTATTTTTAGTAGAGATGGGGTTTCACCATGTTGGCCGGGCTGGTCTAGAACTCCCAACCTCAGGTGATCTGCCTGCCTTGGCTTCCCAAAGTGCTGGGATTACAGGTATGAGCCACTATCTCATTAAGATTTCTAAAATCTTTGTGATTGATATGTTGTGAATATATCACAATTTATTCATTCTACTCTTGATGGACATTTAGGTATTTCCAGGTTTGGGCTGTTACAAATAGTACTATTATGAATATTCTAGTACATGTTTTTTGGTGAAGTGTGAGCATTCCTGATGTTACATATGTAGCATACGTACGTACATGTACACACTTACCTAGGAATGGGATTGATGACATTTATTTGCAAATAGTTAGCTTTGGTAGAGAATGTCAAACAGTTTTCCAAAGTGGTTTTCCCAGTGCCTCTCTCTCTTTCATTATGATTGTATAATAATTATGAGTGATTACTTTTTCCAACTATGACTCCTACCATCACCACTGCCATTCTTGGAGTAATTATTATGAGCCGGGCACTTTGCTAGGCATGACATACGTTGTAATTCAGCTTCCACAGCAACCCTGTGGGGGCACCATTTGAATTGAAAGGTGCTAAAGTTCAGACATGTGACACAAAAAAGCTTGCTGAGCACAGATGGCTACTGAGTTGTATCGTTAGGACTTAAACCCGAGCTCTCTGACTCCACAGTCTATACTTTTAATCACTATGATCTGATTATATTACAACATTTACTTGTATTTGACCATAAAAAAGAATTAAATCATGTCATTTGCAGCAACATGGATGGAACTGAAGGTCATTATCTGAAGTAAAATAAGACAGATTAATTATCTTAGGTGAAATAACCCACATAAAAATACAAATATCAAATGTTCTCGCTTATATGTGAGAGCTACAAAATTTGATCACATGGAGGTAGAGTGTGGAAAGATAGAGAACAGAGAGTGGCAGGGATGAGCTGGGGGTGGGAAGGAAGATGAAGAAAAGTGGCTTAAAGAGTACAAATATATACTGAGATAGGAGGAATAGATTCAATGTTTGATTTTGGAGTAGGGTGACTGTACTTAACAAAAATATATTGCACTTGGGTGGTGGACATCCACATACTCTGACTTGATCACTACACATTATACACATGGAATAAAATTTCATGTGTGGCCACACATTTTTACAAATAAAAAAACCAAAGGGACCTGAAGTCCCTTTAGTCTCTTTATTGTGGGCTGCTTTGCATCAATAAATTAATGACTCAGGAAAAAACAAAACAAAAAGCTTCAAGGGCAGATTTTCCTCCATGTTAAAAATGAAATGTTATGTTGAATAGAAGACAAATGAATGTAGATAAAAATAAAAGTTAAATGTTTACATAATAAGTAACCATTCCATAAATATTTACTTTTCAAATATGTCTGGTTAAATGTAATTTTTGGAAAATTCTGTTTCTTTCTCAGGAGTCCTATTCGGTCAACTGTATGGCATTTGTGATTTATACCAGATGAAAAAGACTTCCCTTCTAAGTTTTAGCTGTTGGACTAGAAACCACTAGCACAACATTCTTACCCTCAACCCCACCCTACAGTCATGGAAGATTTAGGCGGTGGGCGTTTCCCTGTTCTTTTGTCCTTGTCACCATCCTCTGCCCAGACAATAACAGCTGCTTGAGTTTGTGAAAGCTTTTTGAGAAAACAGATCAAACTGTTTCACTAACAGCAAATGACTATTCCTTTCCCAAGTCCTGAAACAGACAAAGGAAACGGCATTATTCTCCATTAGAGATGAGATAGATACAGACGTGTCCCTGGAACTTCTGACCGCATTTGAGGAGTTTTGCCAGTTCCATGTGGCCTGAAATGACAGCCCTCCCTGTCTGTATCACAGGCTGCTTTGCACTTCTCACATCTCCTGGGACAGGATCTATCACAGAGTAAAATAAATACCGAGGCATATTTTCAACGGATGGGAAATAGAGTTTGAATGGGCAGGTGATCTATGTGTTTGTGTTGGTTGCCCCTTGCATCTAATGAGGGCTTCTCTGATGACGTAAAACAAGATCGTCTTATGTTTCTGAAAGTGTGTCTGGAGGAACAGTAGTTGTGTAGGGTATGAGAAGCTGCTATGAAATTGGAGTCCATGGTTGAAAAATCTCGAAAAAGCTGTTTTGAACAAAATTAAACAGGTTCTGCAGTACTCTTCAAGCTTTCAAGAAGTTGATGTGGCCGGGCGCAGTGGCTCACGCCTGTAATCCCAGCACTTTGGGAGGCCAAGGCAAGTGGGTCACCTGAGGTCAGGAGTTCGAGTCCAGCCTGGCCAATATGGTGAAACCCCTTCTCTACTAAAAATAATAAAAAAAAAATTAGCTGGGAGGCTGAGGCAGGGGAATCAATTGAACTAGGGAGGCAGAGGTTGCAGTGAGCAGAGATAGCACCATTGCACTGCAGCCTGGGCAACAGAGCAAGACTCTGTCTCAAAAAAAAAAAAAAAAAAAAAAAAAGAAGTTGACATGTTTTCTGAATCTCTGGAGGAGGGTGCAGTGTCTGGTTTCTTAAATTTATACGACCTCTAAACCATTTACATGACCTCTAAACCTGGTAGTCACCCTGCATCTCGGAGGACAATTGTTTCGTAGAGTGAATTTTGGGAAAAGTCAACTTACCTGGGAAATAGACTTAGTAAGAAAAATCAAGATTTTTCCGTTTGCCATGTGGGTGCTGTGGAAAGAACCCTGGTGTGGGAGGAAGCCCTGGATTCCAGCAACCAAGCCACTCCTATCAGTGTCCCAGGTTCTCCCTGTATATGAGGGAGGGAGGGTCTTTATCTCAGTGATTTCTGAGATTCCTCTCGAAGCTAATAGTTCACACGGCCCAAACAAATAGTCCATCCTGAGCCAGCCCTCACTCATCCAT